CATTCAAAAGCAATATCTACAGAAAAGAGCATCAAACAAACACAAGAAAAGGAGAAAGTTAACGTAACGACAGTACCTAGTAAGATGATTAAAAAATCAGACAATTAGGTCAGTTGGAAATCAAATGTTATATTATAAAACACGAAGAAAACATAGAATAATAAACCAAAAATAAAAATAAGTTACATGTATAACAAAAAGTGGAAAAAAGGGTTCGCCCTATACTTATTTCAGTTGACTTGTATCACTTTAATCTGATATATTGCATCAAATATAGAAATAAACCATTGAAAAGAGCTCATTTAGCTAGAACTTAAACTGTTAAATGCCCAATTTTTTTACGATTTTCATGGGTTTAATGTAATGATAACAAAATATGACGCGGAGTGTAGATGTCAATATAATACAACGATATTAAAGGTCTAATCATAACCCGTGTCAAATATGGCAATTCTTTCATAATTATCATTTCTTGATTACGATGCAACTATCAAACAGAATATAATACTGTTGATTCTTGCATACATAATCATAAACAAATTAATAAACAATATAAAAGATATATTCTAAAATAAAATTATATCTGTTCTAGTTACATAATTGGTAAGAATGGTTTATGTTATGAAATGAAGACCTCTAGTTTGGATACATTTTTAGATGAAAAAAAAACACATTAGTTCCTCATTATACTGTATATATAATAACTTGTTGGTACATGTATTTTGATATTATTGTTAAATTTTTGTTCTTTTTATTACCTGAAATAATTAACACAGCTTATATAAATATAATTATAATATGAAGTAGAAATGAAAAGAAAAAAATGAATTGAGCAATTATACGACGCAGACGACATTTTCATCACAGTTCTTTTACAAGTCTAAATATATATAAGTTAATGTACATTTGAAAAACATAAAAGAGGCATACGAAAAAAGTTATGGAACGTTTTAATAACATAAGACAAAGTTAAAACCCGTGGATTTTGCAATAAAATGTTTCAATGCACATTCCTCGAGCTGATCAACAAATGTCTAAACATCAAGACGTCCTTCCACCCTTTTTTTCCTGGAAAGTGAGATAAAACACAATGTACCATGTTCTCGAGACGCCTTTTCACATAATAAAAAAAGCACGGATAAACAGCTAAACATGCCGTTTAAAAAAAGTGTAAATATTTAAAACGCTTCAGTATTATTGATGGAAATGGAGGATTTGTATACACATGTCATCTCTTCTTATCCTTGTGTCTTTTATTGCTGATCCATGATATTCCGAGTGTAGCCCCTGGTTGAAGAAACACATGCTGCTACCTTACAAAGGCAACGCGTCATTGACATGTTGTCATCATACCTAGTATGTTCTCTAATGTTAAACAGGTATGTGATTTATCATATACTAGTAAATATTAACATAAGCAGCCTGCATGCTTTTAAAGCGCGCATTTTTCTTAAGTATCGCAAAACTCCATTTTAACATATGTGACGCACTAAAATGCTTTTATTGAAATGTGTGCTAGATATTCTACGATGCTTCAAAAGGCCCTTAAATTTTATCGCATTGCAATCAAAACAAGATTGCATTTGAGAAAAATGCTATGCCACCGCATTGATACCTAAGCTCTAGGCCTTTTGGGCATTTACAAGAAGGTATTTTAAGTTTTTGAAGCCTTGTACCTTGTACCTACAGACAATAAGATTTTTTTATTTTTTACTATATGTATATATTGAAAATCAATGACCCCCGGGGCGGGGGCAATTTTGACCCCAGGGCTATAATTTGAACAATCTTGCTAGAGGTTCACTACACAATGTTTCATGCAAAATATCTAACCTCTAGCATTTGTCAATTGCTAGAAGAAATTTTTTTTAAAGTTTTTACTATATACATGTAACGAAAACCAATGACCCCCGGGGCAGGGGCCGATTTTGACCCCAGGGCTATAATTTGAACAATCTGGGTAGAGGTCTACAACACAATGCCTTATGCTCTAGGCCTTTTGGGTCTTTACAAGTAGGTATTTAAAGTTTTTACTATATGTACATATAGTGAAAATCAATGACCCCCGGGGCGGGGCCGATTTTGACCCTAGGGCTATAATTTGAACAATCTTGGTAGAGGTCTACCAGGCAATGCCTAATGCAAAATATCTAAACTCTAGGCTATTTGGGTCTTTACAATAAGGTATTTTAAGTTTTTACTATATGTACATATAGTGAAAATCAATGACCCCGGGGCAGGGCCGATTTTGACCCCAGGGCTATAATTTGAACAATCTTGGTAGAGGTCTACCAGACAATGCCTTATGCAAAATATCTAAGCTCTAGGCCTTTTGGGTCTTTACAAGAAGATTTTTTAAATTTATTCTTATAATCTTATAATTCCTTTTGGTTGCCATGGCAACCAGATTTCTGCATGGAATGAAATTCTTTGAACAACTTTGGAAGCCCTTCACCCAAGGATCAATCCTGCCAAGTTTGGTTGAAATTGGACTATTGGTTTTTCACAAGAAGATTTTTTACGTTCACTATATAATCTATATAACAATGACCCGGGGCGGGGCCGATTTTGACCCCAGGCTATAATTTGAACAATGTTTGTAGAGGTCTACCAGACAATGCCTTATGCAAAATATCTAAGCTCTAGGCTATTTGGGTCTTTACAATAAGGTATTTTAAGTTTTTACTATATGTACATATAGTGAAAATCAATGACCCCGGGGCGGGGCCGATTTTGACCCTAGGGCTATAATTTGAACAATCTTGGTAGAGGTCTACCAGACAATGCCTTATGCAAAATATCTAAGCTCTAGGCCTTTTGGGTCTTTACAAGAAGATTTTTTAAATTTGTTCTTATAATTCCTTTTGGTTGCCATGGCAACCAGATTTCTGCATGGAATGAAATTCTTTGAACAACTTTGGAAGCCCTTCATCCAAGGATCAATCCTGCCAAGTTTGGTTGAAATTGGACTACTGGTTTTTCACAAGAATTTTTTAAGTTCACTATATAATCTTTATAACACACACACACACAAACAAACACACACACACACAGGTAAATCGCTATATGCCACCGCATCGCAGATGCTGCGGTGGCATAAAAAGTAGTGTCCTTAAATGTCGCAGACAATATTTTAGAGCATTTAGTGTGCATGTGTATGAGCCATGAAAGCGCATCCAGCGTACTTGAATGTCTTGAATGTCGCAAGAGCCATGAACGAAAGCAGATTCATTGTACTTTAATGTAGCATGAGCCATGACAGCGCATCAATGTATTTGAACATCGAAAGAGCCATGAATGTGCATCAATAGTATTTGAATGTGACAAGAGCAATTAAAGTGAATTTAGTGAACTTAAATGTAGCATGAGCAATGAAGCGCATTAAGTGTACTTAAATGTCATTAAGTGTACTTAAATATCGCAAGAGCCACGAAACTGCCTTTTGCAGATATCGCCATATGCATTTTACTATCGCTTGAGCCCTTAAACAAACGTAAGTGATACTTAGTGTCATTAAGGCACGGCATATGCACTCCTTACAATCAAAGCTCAATGTCTTAAATCTTGCTTAATTAAGAAATACATATAGCAAAAAAAAGCCCATTTAACAAAATAACGACAGTTACAACAAATCAAACTATTTCTTGCTTAACTTACCTGCTGATTATTTTATATACATATCCTTCCCTGTTTAAAAACCATAGTTATATTCTCTGTTGGTCACTCTTAAAGTGTGATTCTGATCATGCAACAGTCTTGTATATGCCAAGATGAATAAAGAAAATGCTTCCTATAGTGCCTTTTACCATTTTGACTTATTCCACATATGCTTCCATATATCACCAATGCTTCCATTAATCAATGTATAAAAGAAGAATTTCTATTTAGTAATGTAGAGAAATCACAGAAATATTACATTGTCCCGCTTTTTGCCGTCATCATATTCGTACTTGCAGTACTCTGTCCGTTCGCACAGCAGTTGAAGAGCTTATTTTGCACAATCCATAACTTTTAAACTCACTTTGCACACGGAAATTCAAAGAGCACTTTGAAGTTCACATTCATGCATGATTAAGAGCATACTTTATGATACAGAGCACGCTGTAGAATAGCATTCTTTCCAGATGATAAAGCTAAATTTACACAATTTTGTTGATTTAGAGCACACTGGTATGACGTTAAGCGCATTATCAAGATTTAAAGCACTGCATACTTCGACAACGAAATATAGACATAGCATTCACATTACGCCTGAACATTTATATTTTTTTCAAAAATGTTCTTCATGTCATTCCAACCAATCAAAAGCCTTGCTACAACAACAGTCCCTTGATGAGAATGTGTTTCCCATTAAATATACATGTTTATCACATACCCATGCCGTTTTTTGTGACTCCGTAAATATGGTATTGCAGGGCCGTGCATATATTTTTGACGTGACGTCATTTGCGTTATATAAATAGAGCGTTAAGGCGCAAGCGTTCCACTATAGGCGCATCAATGAAAAATGGTTCTTTTCATTTCAAACGGTCTTCAATTTTGGTACATGATAAATAGAATATAAAACTCGTGTAAGTTCATTACTGAATTAATTGAACTCGTTAATAAAATAATATTATGCCTCCCAGAGGCTCGCATATAACAATTTCAATCAACTCGTTCAATAAATTCAGTATTAAACTTACACCAATTCAATATCCTCTATATAGGCGTTTCTTTAATTTACTTACATTTATCATAACTGGTATATAGACCCTTATATCTTTAGAGTATACTAGCAAACTGTATTCGACCACTTATTATTTCATATATTAACAAAAATCAAACAGAAGCACCTTAAATGAAAGAACAATGTTTGTAAATTTCCGATGTAAGTGGCAATTGCGCCAAAAAATCGCTAAACTTAATACTACAATAGTACAAATGTAATTAAATTATTATTTTATCACAAAACGATTATTATATGTGTTTTAAATATTCCATATATGTCTAATCATAGGTGACATTCTTAAAGTTCAACATGGAAGTATGAAAATAACATGTTTGTACATGCAACAGTATCAGATTTTTTGTCATCATATTTACCAGTCCCTTTATTTTATAAAGAACATACGAAATAACAAACATATGGATTTCCAATGTGCAACCGGAGACTACGTAACAAATACATGTAGGTTTTGAATCTATACATGTATTATAGTAAATAATCTATGAACATTTCAGTGAAGAAATAATGTTAAGTATAAAATAACCAAACAGTTTCACATGCAGAAAAAGTGATATATCAGACAATGAAAATGTATGTTACGTTATTTAACACATATACTCATATGAGCTTTTTGTTGTATATTGACACTTATTAAGTGCAGATTATATAAGAAAAAAAAGTGTACACATATTTCAGTAAATGTACATTATTTAAAAAATAAGTGTACAACAAATTTTAGTAAGTGTACATTACATGTATACGTATGGAAAATATAAACAAATAGATGTACACATATTTCTATGTACTTAATTTCTATGTGTCAAATTACATCCGGGCCAAACCACGGGGAGGCGCCCAAATTATGGCCCACTTATGTCTTTTCTTTTCAGAAAAAAACGTTTTAATTTTTAATTATTTGCCCACAAATTAACTTGCATGTGTCAGCTTCTGTTTCAGTTCACCACACATATAACAAGTTCATTTTTTTAGACAATAAAATCCTTTTTATAACTCAGTTTTACAGATTTTACAGAAACCCTATCATTCCCCATATTTTAGTCATAACAGATATTCCTTTTATTTCTAAAGGGTATAAAGCTAAATTCAAGCTGTCTGTTATAATGTAATTAGTAGTAGTAGAAAATATGTTTGTATCTTCAATTTGATAAGTCATATATAAATACAATATAGTAATGTTTGAGAATTTCTGATAAACGAAAAGGCACATAAGCGAAATAGTAATTAATAGTACTTAAATTGACAGTGACTTTCCTACTTATAAATCAGACTCCGAAAAAAAGCTTCTTCCCAATAGAAAATTTCTTTAAAATCTTGCAGTTTTCCCAAAAATCTGGACTTAAACCTGCTTTTTTCTTCCCAAATCAGCAATTTTAGCAATAATTTTTCCCAAAATCAAGAGGCTAAGGCCTCTTCCCAATTAAGCGAGAAAAATCACTGATAGAAGTTGAATATTTTGTATCATTTCTAAAATAATATTGATATTTAATGTAAAAAAATCAACACTGCAGGATTCATTTTAACATTCAATAAAAAGTAACAGAGATATCTGATTGTAAAACACTATAATATCTAAATAAAATATAAACATTCCAGTATAATTAATAATTTTTGGTATTTTCATAATACACGTCCCAAGTTATAACTTTATATCCTTTAATATCTATCACAAAGACAGACAGACAGACAGACAGCACACCCGACTATTTGAATACTGGATAATACAATAAGGCATCACCAAGAAAAAAAATCAGTGATGTGTGAAACATAAATATCTTAATATAGATTACTTAATTAGAATCAGGTAGGTCTTAAATTTCTAAGTGCCAGGAATCAGGTTTAAAAAACATATTCAATGTTTTGAACATTGTCACATGCAATTAACTCATTCTAATTTTGAATTAAAAAAGGGGGATATTTCTTTCAATAAAGATGCCAGAGTTAATCTTGTCATATGTTATGTCATTGATCAGGAACAATTTTGTCTTCAATTAAAGTTTGTACATTCAAAAAGAGAGGGCTTCATGGGTTGTAAACAAGAAAATTAAGTTCAACAGGATGATTTTTCTTTAAATAATGGTATAATTAAATAATTTCAAGTTTGAAGAAATTTATTCAAGTTTTAAAGAAAGAAAACACAAACATAAAACACAAACATGTGCGTGCATGTATCAGAAAATTAAAGGTCAAAATGGGAGATAATTCTTGAAATATAGAGGCAAGAAATACAGAAGCTTGTCAAATTTTAGTTGATAGATAATAAAGAATGACTAAAGTTTGAAGTAGGAAATTTCAGAGATAAAAAATATAGCATGCAACACTTTACATGAAATTCAAAGTAAAAGGGGAAGAAACTCTTGAAATGCCAGAATAATGAATATTGAGACATTCAATGTTAATAATGAAAAAAAATATTTATTTTTTTAAAAGTAATTCCCTTCAATACTAAAGATGGATAATACAAATTTACATTAAAGTTAAAAGGAAAGATAACTCTTGAAATATAGGCACAATGGTTATTAAACCTAGTCATATGAATGAAGGTGACAATAAAATACCACAAGTTCATGTTTGAAGTAAATGGTTTCATTAATAAGCAAGAAAGACTTTCTTGTACATAATATCATAATTATAGTGAAAAAAACTTTGATCTGAAATCTGGACACCAACAATAAGGTGTACAGGACAGCTCTACATTTACCTTATACATGTATACTCATATAGACCTAATTCAATAACATACATTTTCATTATCAAAATATGTAACTACAATTCAATTTAGAATTATCAAAGTTTTTTGTACAGCATTGAAGTTAAAAGTAAAAATACCACTTCATTTACATTTTTGCTGCCTTTTTTAACAAATTATTTTACATACAGCGATATTTTCATCATGCGGTAAGCACCTCTCTTATTACAACATTATAAAATGCCTATAAGATCAAAAGTTATTCTGTTACCATGGGGAATTTCAAAATTGAAAGTAACACTTTTTGATTGGTTGAAAAATGACATAAAAAACCATACTGAACTTTTCAAGCAATTCATGAATGTTATCTAGATGAGCATACTGTTAAAAAGTCAAACATAATAGTGCAGTTGACAACTTGCTCTGAAAAAAATGTTTCTAAATATAGCTACTTGTAACACCAAGTACACCGCACATACTGAGATAGAAAATGTCTGCTCCTCATCAATATAATTCAGGACAGCTCATCATTCTTCAACACTCCGTCTTGAAGATGAAAAGATTTATGTAGAATTGTTTTCATCGAAGAGTCTTCATTTTTGAAGAGATTAAAACAAACACAGGTGTAAATAATTCCTCTTTGATCAGATAAATCACTTTGGAACTGTAGAAAATGTTTACGAGAATCAATCATCCATGAAAAATGTGCTCATAAACCAGTGTGCTGAAGAAGCAATGATGTACATGTATTAGTAGACGATTATATTATATGTCGGCCCAATCTAAGTTACAGAAACTCTGATATCATCTTAATTGGTATCTTTACGCCATGAAGGTTCGAATCTTCTGACGGATATTTTTATCACATACTATACATTTCGACAGCGGTGCTGCACACTCCATGCATAAACGATGGTGAGTACATGGTAGGAAGAGACAATTTGTCTCGTTCTGACCACATTCCATACAAAGTATGATCTTCTTTAGACGCTGATTTTCTTCGGCAGGTGTCTCTGTAAGTATAATGTAAATTTTTATCACAACTAATCTGTATTTTGTGTCAATTTTATAACATTTTTTCAGTAAAAAGTAAGAGGTTATTATATATTGTTGAGTACAATACTGAATTGTATTAGACAAGTACACAGCTGTCAAACCTACAGTACGCTCACCGCGGGTTTTGCTTTTTCCGCGATACCACCGCGGACGGTTTTTTTTTTATCGCGGACAAACGCGGGGGCTCGTCCGCGATGAGAAGCCTAATTCCCCGCGATCCCCGGTGTTCAGTTGTTTCCACCGCGGACAAAATTCTGACGACCCTTCTTCATTCATCGATAAAATCAGTCACCCGTTTCCCGCGGGGGAACGCCATGGTCAGTTGGTCAGTATAAATTAACCTCCAAAAATAATAGACGTTTTATTATTTTTTAACGTCATCTTTTTTACACAATGACTTGAAAATTGACCACAATCGTCTCCTTAAATGTTATTATACGTTAAATTATTTGAACGGTATTTTAAATAAAAATAGTTATAGCTGTACCTGTTTTTGTTGTTGTTTTTAATATTTTTGTTATAAACGTCCACAAAACTATTCGTCCACATACCAATATTTTTACAACTGAAATCGTCATTTATCACTGTCATCTTTACTTTTTCATTCCTTGTGGTTCTCAAAGTATTATTGCTGTTAAACTATATGGGAGCCTTTAATATGATACTTAGTAAAAAAAGGACATTTGTGCTGATTTCTCAATGATGACTGACGCTACAGTACATGTCCTGTAAGAGGTCGATGAGTGTGAATACAAGACAAGACATAAATAAAATACATGTACATATATTAGAAATGAAAGAAAAAGATATTTAAACCATCTATAAGATTTTATTTGTATGCAATTATATTCTTTAAAAACGGGTAGACTTGTGCCATGTGCTTACAAGTTTGCCTTATATACATGTATGTACATGCATACTGTTCATAATAAAATAACAAAAAGTATAACGTCAAGTTTAACAAAATTCTGCAAAAAAATCTATAAAATAATAAAAAAAGAACAAACAAACAAACTACTAAAACAAAAATGAAAATAAACTTCAACAGTTGATACAAACTTCAAAACATATACATTACGCTCACACCTGTAATTAGATAAATCAAGAATATCATTTAATGTATATTTTGGTGAAATAAAAGCTTTCTTTTAATGTTCCAAATAAAATATAAGACTTTATGATCAACATGCAAATAAACAGAAACAGTAAAACGCATCTGACAATTGAAAGAGACGTTCTGGAATATTGCCTGAATAAGTTGTTGAGGGTTACGTTTTCAAAGTTTTTAAATAAGAAACAAAAGCTGGCATATAAATTGTTTTAGGATCTTTTTCATAAATGTCATATGCCGAATTTTTCATTATTTGACTTCAAGTTTCTCACTACCATGAAGTTGCGACGACAATGATTTATCTTGATGTCGAATACATATTATACATTACCCAACACAATAACAAGAAGAAGAACAAGAAATACACTGCATTTGTACATTTACTTTTATTACAACAAAAAAGAAAACAAATAAACAAATTTTACATATAGTTATATGTACAGTACATGTTACAGTACGTACGTATACTGATGTTTAAATACAGTAATTAATTTTTAAAATTTAAGGTTTCCACCGCGTTGACCGGTGTTTGACCGCCGCGTTCCTCCGCAATTTACCACTGCGTTCCGCGGGGGAAACGGTTTCAGTCGCCGATTTATGTCCGCGGTGGTGAAAATTTTCTGTCCGCGGGGTCACGCGGACAATATCTGAGCAAATTTTCGTCCGCGGTAAACCTCATCCGCGGGGTCACGCGGGTTTTGAAAAAGCCGCGCTGAGCGTACTGTATATTGGATGAGGGGCTAGCCAAGTCTGATAAAGGTTTTGCAGCTGTGTCCAATAGAATCACTATTGTTCTAAAAAGAACTAAATCATTATACTAATATATGAAATGACTGCAAAAATGCAAAAGAAGCAAAAGATTGCTAAATTTTGTGCATCTCTCTGGAAACTATAAGAGTACAAAAAGCTTTTAAAAACCTTTTGAAAGATGAAAAGTTTTTTAGACTTATTGAGCCTTTAATATCCTTACATCTATACTTTCTTCAGTTAATGTTCTTACATTTTCAATCAAAATGATAATTTTATTTAGATATTATTAATATCTTTAACCAATATTCTTAATTCTATATGCCTACATCTTTTAATTAAAACTAGTAAAGAATTCTTAATATTTCTGAAGACAAAATTAATGTAATGAACAAAACCATAGATTTAAACAGAAAAATAAATGATAATTATGATATAAATAACTCATAATTTACCATTTGCTACAGCCTGTAAAACTTCATTTTGAGTTTTCCTTCTTTTAATTACTTCAATTACATCAATTATCTCCTCAACTGTAGGTTTTCTTGTTCCTGGAATAACAATAGCATCTATGTTCATGACTGTCACTTTTCAATGGAATAATTTTAGTGATTGCCAAAAGGTAATACTTGCACATATAACACTTGAATTTTAGTTGATCGCCAAAATGTAATACTTACACATACAAAACTTATATTTTACTGATTGCCAAATGGTAAGACTTGCACATATAACTCTTTAATTTTAGTGATTGCCAAAAGGTAATATTTGCACATACAACACTTTAGCACATTCGAATAAACAAGACAGTCCCATTTTTCATGAAACAGTCAAGCTAAACCATACTGACAGTGCAGTGACTACAAATATTACCTATCGCCTTCATTAATTATCTTGTTCAGTGCTTTAATCTATAACTGCCTTGTTCAATCTATAATATGTAGTTTATATGAATCTATTTTAGTTTGATGGTGTAGGAAGCTATAAGCTATTTGAAACACTCTTGAATTCTTTCCTTGAACTAATCAGTACTTAGCAATGAGTGTAAAATTTCTTGCTGAAGGACAGAATGGTCCCAGCAATCCTTAGATTACTAGTCTGATGTGTTAACCACTCTATAACATTTGGATTTAACCTGTGCTTATTTTTACATTAACACTTTGAGAGATGACATCATTAAAGAAACTCCATTGACACCTAAAAGCCTAAAAACATTACAATTTTAATTTCTTACATAATGCCACAACTTGGGCATTTAAAGATATGAAAAGGATAATTAAGAAGAAATATTCAGAGATAAACTAAAAATCACATAGAGTTTTGAACTATTCTTAATGATTTTATTGAACAGCGTTTCATGCTTTTCAATATTGAGTCATTTTTCACAATTGAAATAATTATTTTAGAAAAACATGGTGAGCAAATAATCGGAAATTTTAAACACAAGTTTTTGATCTAGAACTACATCAAATGGAACATAAATCTTTGAAAATTATCACCAGTGCTATCATGTAAAAAAACTTCTGTGGAGTCCCTTTAATGAAAAGCCACTTACAACAGTCTAGTGTCAGACAAGCCTGAAGGTGCTTGTAGTTAGACAAGATATTGCAGGGGTTTCATTTTGTTTCAAAGAAGATAAAGTAATTTATCAAAGTAGACAAGTATAGAAGTATCAGGAAGACAAAAATGAAAAACAAAATACTCAAAAGTAGCTAGGTCATGTAGGTGGTTAGGTATATAGCTTGTTAACACAAGAACTTACTGTAAACTCCTAAGCTGCCAAGTCTATATAAACTTTATAAAGACACCCCAACACCTTCAAGACTATTCTAGGAAGCTAGCCTATATACATTGTAATCCATTCAACTAACAATTAGAACGTCCAAAAGATGGTTTATATTACAAGTATCAAATATTAGGGTTAAGCATGTAAAATAAATGTATGTATATAATACTGTTTAACCTCTACAGAGTAACAACCCTTGGAATAATTTTTTAAGTTGTTGCTGAGTGTGAGGTGTTGCTCAAGAGAGGTTAAATATATATTGTCATGTCTCACTTTCAGAATAAATGAAACTGTTGTTGTAAAGAAGTAATTGCTCTACAGAGGTAATTACTATACAGAGGGTCGTTTTGTAGCAGTTGTGCTGTACCTACTATTTATAAAAAATAGAGTTACCTCTCTCCCGTAATTCCTTGATAGCTTCATCGATTTCTTCAGTTGGGTATCCCATTTCTTTACAAGCATCTTTAAGTTCATTTATTGCAGCTTGTAATTCCGGATCTCGTATTTCCATTCGCTCTAGAGTAGCCGAAATACCATTTCCAGTAATATTCTCCTATTTAATTATGATAAAATTATTATTGTAAATATCAAAGCTTTACTGAAGATACAAATGTAGTTAAGTATATGTATGTCCATGTATTAAAAATAGAAACTTATCATTCATCTGTAAATATATGAACGTTGGAATACAATTGTATTTGTGTTTTTTGCATTGTTTTTTAGGCCAATTTTAAGATATATTATGCATGTATTATCATATCCTGGCAGTTGATCCACCTAACTGACTATACTGGAGAAATAACCTGTTATTACAAGTATCTCTGCAAGTGATCAACTTATAGTCTCACATGATTTCAGAATCAGCAGTGAGAGACAAATGAGCCATGTCATGACAAAACCAACAAAGTGCGTTTGCGACCAGCATGGATCCAGACCAACCTGCGCATCCGCGCAGTCTGATCAGGATCCATGCTGTTCGCTATCAGTTTCTCTACTTGTAATAGGGTTGGTAAGAGAACAGCATGGATCCTGATCAGACTGCGCGGATGTGCAGGCTGGTCTGGATCCATGCTGGTCACAAACCCATTATGTTGGTTTTGTCGTGGCACGGCTCAAATAACAATTACAATTAATGTGCAAGAAAATTTTGCCTCAACTGAGGATCAATCCAGCCTCCCATAGATTTATTAATTGGATACTACAGAGCTAAGCTGGAGGATAAATACAATGTTATTAATGTTCACTGTTAAATGTTCACTGTCAAATATTCAATATTCAATGTTCAAAGATCATGCACTTTACTCAGAAAACAGAGAAAAATAATAACAGTTACAAATGGTAGAACTTTAGTTTAAGTTTGATTGTGTTGAAAGCTATAGCTTATTGAAACACTTTCAAATCCATTCCTTGAACCACCCAGTTGTAAAGTTTCTTGCTCACAACAGCTTGCCTCCCACGGGGTTTGAACCCACACGGCCAGCAATCCTCAATTACTAGTCTGATGCGTTAACTATTCAGACACACCCTTTTCCAGGCTTTTTCTCAATATCTATGATTTATGTAACTTTCATGAATACCTACTAAATAAATGCTACATACCAAATATGTAAGCATTTTTGCTGTAAGTTTCAGAACAGATGATAATTATAGCATGCATTAATTTTCTTCTTAACATACTTGATAATTCTTTATATATGTCAAATGTAACAAATTGACCAAAGCCAGGGACATTTTCTGCACTATATACATGCGTCACTAATTTGTAAAGATTTGATTTGCATAGTAAACTTCTTAAAAAAATAAAAAATGAATAAATAAATAAATGAATTAATAAAATGATAATTCAATTAACTTACAAAATAATGCAAGTATACACCTTTTAAATAACCTTTATATAACCTCATAATATAGTTCATCCTAAATTTGCTGAATTTCTTATTAATGGACTTGGCCTGCTTGGAATTTGGACTTAAAGTTTAAGGGATTTTGATATCTGACTGTAATTAATTGACCTTAATCAACAGTATAAAGCATAGTCACTTAAACTACACAGATTTGCAGACTGGCCTGGTTCTACAGGGGTGGCAAGAACTAATCACTTCCAGGTCCATCAGGTTAAGGCTTAAATTGAAATTAGTGATAAAGATTACTTATTTAAAGTTAATATTAACCTGTTTTACATTAAAGTACATTTGTAAATTTACAATTAGTTTTCTTCTCATAAAATACCTGATTTTCCATGGCGATGGCTGCCTGAATGGCTGCGATGAAATCATCGCCTTTCTGGGTTCTGGCAAAGGGACAAGCTGGAAACCATCGACAGTGTTCGGTCCATGGATCATCTTCTGGATCCCAGTGTTGTAGTCCGCCATCACAGGCGAAACAACGTACTCGGTCTTCATGTCCTATTACAGGAAAAATAATATATTTAACTAAGTGATGTACCATATATTTAAGTACTAACTACAAAGTCTATTTTAAAATTACCTTTGAATTCATAATGATGTTTGGAATTAAATGATGTTTTAAATAAACATCAATTAAAGTTAAAAACAATAATCTGAAAAATAAACAAGTGACCTCTTTATATAATACATCAGACGATTCAGTTCCCAATATTTTATTTTTAGAAACAAACATCTCAGTTATCACTGACATGTTATAAATAGATCTCGGGGAGCTGTTTTGAAGAAAAAATTACAGAAAAAACTTAGTTTGAAACAACACAGAATTGTTTTTCCAACAGAAAATAATAGCTGAATGCAGCTTTCAATAAACCACAATTTATTAACTTTGTAAAGATGCTTGTTTTATCATGTTTATTCAGTCCTGTAAGAGCGTTCTGATGACAAATTTACAAGAATGTTTAGTTTAGATATTTCACCTGTGTGATAAAGTCCAGCCTCTGCTAATTGATGAGGGGTCTGTATCATATGTGGTGGCCAATTAGTGAAAGACCCCAGGCGTGCCTCAAACGTCTGGAATTCAGGGTGACGGTACACAGCGTTTGCTGGATCATATCTGTGTCTCTCTATAAATTTATGAAAACAAATACTTCTAATTAAAAGAAAAACTTTGTGAATAGAAAAATGTAGTCTTTTATCACAGTTGTTCAAAATGAAAAGCAAACAATGATTATTCAAATGCAAAATATAAAATAGTCCCAATAATTGTCAAAATTCATGGGGCGTTCGTGGCCGAGTGGTTAAGGTCGTTGACTTCAAACCACTTGCCCCTCACCACTGTGGGTTCGAATCCCGACAGGGACATTGGATTCTTTCATGTGAGGAAGCTATCCAGCTAGCTTACGGAACGTCGGTGGTTCTACTCAGGTACCCGTTCGTGCCTGAAATAATGCACGGAAGGGCACCTGAGGTCTTCCTCCACCAGTAAAGCTGGAACATCGCAATATGACCTATACTGTGTCGATGTGACATAAAACCCAAAACAAAAACAAAACAAAAAATTGTCAAAATTCCTTATTATAGTTCTTTTTCCAATGTGGTCATGATAGAACTACCACAGGTTTGACTGTAGTTGTTTAATAATATAAAGCAATAATTTAAACCCCTAGCTATTTGTGTAGAAACTTTGTAAATACTTGCCTAAGAATTAAGTAGACTTATTTCTTCACAGATTATACAAGTATCTCATATAATAACCTTTTTTATACATGTAATGTAGTAGAAAAAATTCAACAGTAAATGAGAAACTTTAATTTGCTTTCAGATTACTTTTAAATAATCATATTTTTCTGAAAACAAGAACTTTCGGCTGATTTGTTCACATCAGCAGTGTTAATATAATTGGTAAAGGACAAACTTGTCACTTTTTTGTTAACTTAGATACAAGCACATAGTTAGGAAGAACCATCAAAATACTACTCCATGTATATTATGTCTAAGAACAATTCAACATTTCAAACAGGATTTACTCTTACTAAGATGAAAAGCTTCAATCTAATTTCCATATAAACTTCAACCAACTTAACTTTTAGTATCATGTCTTTGCATGACATTGTATCTATGAATTTTAATTTAAATGAGCTTAATTATAACATATTACCACTCCATTGTATTCTTCTGTTGAATTCTGGGTCCTGGGATTGTAGCTGTCTCTGGAAATATAGAGGAACATGTGTCTGGAAGTGTAATATCTAGGTAACATTTTCAGTTAATTTTGTCTATATGTAAGTCAATCAAACTTATTCAAGGTAGCTTCACAAAATTGAGTTAAATACAGATGTTTCACTATTTATTTTAAGGCAACAGGCCTCCAGATTCATGTTAATTTTCATGAAAATTTTAGAAGTGTATTTGAGAGGTGAACAAATAAAGTAATTTATATATATAGCAATCGGCACTTACAATCCAAGAAAAGTGGTGAACATAATGCAAAAACAGCCCTTACTGCATTAGTAACGCAGTAGAAATATGGTGATCAACCGCACGTAACATGTAAAATATAACTTGGATCTTGAATGTTTTTACCTTTCTTAACATTTTAGTACATTTTTCTCATTACTGATTTCCTTGAAATATTTATTTGCTCATCTGGAGGTGTGCTGCTTTAAAAATTCAAGTCATTTCTTCCATTTAATTGATATTGTTGGTGTTTTGATATTGTTGGTGTTAATCTATAATATTAGAGACAACAATGATCCTTATTTGTATATTTGAGTTTATTTATAATCACCACCATTTGCCCATATGGGCAAATCCTCCAGAAGATTATTAGTCATTTCATATTTTGGAGGATAGTGCAAGATACAGAAAGATTGACATAATGCCAGAATCTTTAGTGCTCTTTAGCGTTCTTTCAGGGTTCTTTAGCATGCCAAGTGTTTAAGCCTCATACAAGGGACTTTGATTTAAAGTCTCATCCATCAGTAACCAAAATTTAGTCGGCCAGTCTGGGAATCGAACCCAAAATGTCGAGATTACAAATCTCATGCTCTAAGCTATTGAGCTATACAGGCTGGCCATAATGATCCTTAAAACACTGCACTTGCTTGAAATATGGTACACAAAATGTATTTGCTAAATTAACATTTTTAATTTGTCTATAATATGTTAATTTGAATTCACAATAATGTACTAACTTATGCATTATGCAATTCATTGAAAGTACTGTTTCAGTGAAAGTGAAATTTCATGGTATTTTCATAAAAATTAACAAGTCACCACCTCAATACATTATTTTATTCAATGCAGGCATGTCTAAATGAAAATCCAAGGTTTCACCACAGAGCTACATAAGAGAAGTATCTGGTTACCCATGTCTAAATGAAAGTGCAGTATTTCACATGACTATTGTGTAAATGAAAGTCCAATGTTCCACCACAGAGCTACATAAGTGAAGTATCTGGTTACCCATGTCTAAATGAAAGTGCAGTATTCCACATGTGTAAATGAAAGTCTAATGTTTCACCACAGAACTACATAAGTGAAGTATCTGGTTACCCATGTCTAAATGAAAGTGCAGTATTTCACATGTGTAAATGAAAGTCTAATGTTTCACCACAGGGTTATACAAGTGAAGTATCTGGTTCCCATGTCTAAATGAAAGTGCTGTATTTCACATGTCTAAATGAAAGTCTAATGTTTCACCACAGAGCTATATAAGTGAAGTATCTGGATACCCATGTCTAAATGAAAGTGCAGTATTTCACATGTGCAAATGAAAGTCCAATGTTTCACCACAGAGCTACATAAGTGAAGTATCTGGTTACCCATGTCTAAATGAAAGTGCAGTATTTCACATGTCTAAATGAAAGTCTAATGTTTCACCACAGAACTACATAAGTGAAGTATCTGGTTACCCATGTCTAAATGAAAGTGCATTATTTCACATGTATAAATGAAAGTCCAATGTTTCACCACAGAGCTATATAAGTGAAGTATCTGGATACCCATGTCTAAATGAAAGTGCAGTATTTCACATGTCTAAATGAAAGTCCAATGTTTTACCACAGAGCTATATAAGTGAAGTATCTGGTTACCCATGTTTAAATGAAAGTGCACTTTTTCCACATGTCTAAATGAAAGTGCAGTGTTTCACAGATATTTATTAACATATGTCTCACATTTAAAGAAACATTTCATAATTTGAAAAGCTGGTATAATAGTATCTTGCAGCTACCTGTACAATGTATATTACTTTTTTATAAGTCTCTACTAGTATACTAATAAAAACAAGAGCTGTCGGTAGGACAGCATGCTCGACTATTCTTAGTGCTTGATAGTAAAAAAAATGCCTGATACAGTTACCTCCTCCTGTTTACAGGTTGGGGTCATGATGGTGAACAAGTGTGCAAAGTTTCAAAGCCATATGTCAATGGACTTTGAAAATATTTGAACTATTACAAAAACTTTAACGTAAATTCTAAGACGAAAAAGGGGCATAATTCTGTCAAAATGCTTGATAGAGTTACCTCCTCCTGTTTACAGGTTGGGGTCATGATGTTGAACAAGTGTGCAAAGTTTCAAAGCCATATGTCAATGGACTTTGAAAATATTTGAACTATTACGAAAACTTTAACGTAAATTCTAAGTCGAAAAAGGGGCATAATTCTGTCAAAATGCTTAATAGAGTTACCTCCTGCTGTCTACAGGTTGGGTCATGATGTTGAACAAGTGTGCAAAGTTTCAAAGCCATATGTCTATGGACTTTGAAAATATTTGAACTATTACAAAAACTTTAACGTAAATTCTAAGTCGAAAAAGGGGCATAATTCTGTCAAAATGCTTGATAGAGTTACCTCCTCCTGTCTACAGGTTGGGGTCATGATGGTGAACAAGTGTGCAAAGTTTCAAAGCCATATGTCAATGGACTTTTGAAAATATTTGAACTATTACAAAAACTTTAACGTAAATTCTAAGTCGAAAAAGGGGCATAATTCTGTCAAAATACTTGATAGAGTTACCTCCTCCTGTCTACAGGTTGGGGTCATGATGGTGAACAAGTGTGCAAAGTTTCAAAGCCATATGTCAATGGACTTTGAAAATATTTGAACTATTACAAAAACTTTAACGTAAATTCTAAGTCAAAAAAGGGGCATAATTCTGTCAAAATGCTTGATAGAGTTACCTCCTCCTGTCTACAGGTTGGGGTCATGATGGTGAACAAGTGTGCAAAGTTTCAAAGCCATATGTCAATGGACTTTGAAAATATTTGAACTATTACAAAAACTTTAACATAAGTGGTTACGCCGACGCCGACGCCGACGCTCGGGTGACTGCAATAGCTCTACTTATTCTTATCGAATAGTCGAGCTAATAATATTTCACAGAATGTCATCCATCATACATTTTGTACTCAAAATCTAGAGAAAGTGGACATCAATTCCTTCATTGTTGTATACTTACTCTTATAGCAGCTAACTGGCTCGCTCCCAGATACTCTAGTAAATACGGGCAGTCACCGGAATGTTTCACGTGCTCGTGTAACGGGTTATCTTCCTCGCAGAAGTCCTTCAACCCTATTCCACATTGATAACATCTTACTAGATCTGCATCATCTAAAATTTGAATTTTTGTTGTCATTATGTTTGCTTTGTATACACTATGTTATGCTTTATATAAAAAAAAAAACAAGGTAAACATACATGTTGAAAGACTCTTTTTTATATGCAAGTGCCCTGCACGGGTGTCTAAAACATTAAAAATCCTGATATTTGCTTCATGACAGTTCACTTACTTGTATAGAAGAATCCAGCATTGGTCAATGTTTGTGGATCAGGTTTTCTATGCCTCCACCTAGCATAAGATCGAAGTCTTTCGCTTCTATCGACATAGTCGGGGTGCCTGGGAGGCCTCGTAATGACAGGGTTGTTTGAAATGTTATTTCTTATTGTTGATGACTGAACTTCATTTCCCTGTCTGCTTTGTTGAGCTTGACTGACATTTGTATTCAGCCTGTTTTCACCGTATCCGTTAAGTCGATGTGACGTATGTTCACGTCCACCAAAAACATATCTTGAGGCAGAGTTATCATTTGCCGGAAGTGATGCACCACTTGAGAATGCGAACTCGCTCCTGTCAGAGCTGGCTTGATCGTCTGACACTTGCTGAGGGTAGTGGTTACGGTCATTCATATCACGGAATCTGGGTAGTAAAACTAATCGTTTTCTTGATTTAGTATGCAAACTATTGTCATTACGTGAAGGTAACAAAACCTTTGAAGAATTTAAAGAAATGGACTTGTGACCATACTCTTTAATAGGAAAAATGGGAAGGCAGCACATTTGGTCGAAGCCAAATAACATTTACAAGATAAAATAAAAAGTTTTTAACGGCCAGTTCATACATATGGTGATTTCTTCGGCACAGTTTTGCATTTTTTTAGTTACGCTTTAGTTGATGAAATTCGTAATCCCTCTTTATACAATTGCTGACGACTTTGTTCATTCTTTTACCTGAAATATTAAAATTATTTCATGATGTAAGACTTGTTTATATACTGTGATACTGGCACTGTGAGAGCTTAGACTCAGGCTGAAAAACTTCAGTCATTTCCAACAAAGTGCACATAATCTGGGTTATTATATTATCTATTTATTCTGTACATGTAATGTATCATTTGGACTACAGAAATAATATTTTAAAGCAATTTCTTAGAATTTTATCAGCAGTTCTATAAGCCTATATAAAGCAATCTGATTCAAAAATATAGCCATGCCAGTTCAAAAAAGTTTTTTTTATCATCAATCTCAAATTTTAATTGGACAAGCGACAGCGAATTTTTGCGGTTACGATTGCGTTTCATTTTAAACAAATGAAAATCGTGGAGTACTTACACTGCAAAATTTAAGTAAATGGCAGAGTAATTCAATAAATGTCACAAATGTTTAAGCTACACTTCTACAAGTGGAACCATGAGTTATTAAATAGCTTCAGTTATGGGAGAATGGCTGTGTTAGTCAAGTGAAAATCTTCCAAATAGAAAGACCCGATCAAACTAGTTCGTATCAGTAAGTCCACACTGCCAGCTTTCTTCATTAACAAGTTAACTGAATAGGTCTACCAAAATTCCTTCAAGGAAAACAGCATTTTTTTACCTTGGTTTTACGTCACATCGACACAGAATAAGTCATTTGGCGAAGTTCCAGCTTTACTGGAGGAAGAAGACCTCAAGTGCCCCTCCGTGCATTTTTTTCAGGCACGAACGGGCACCTGAGTAGAACCACCGACGTTCCATAAGCTAGCTGGATAGCTTCTTCACCATAAGCAAGCTGGATAGCTTATGAAAGAATCAAAAGTCCCTGTCGGGATTCGAACCCACAGCGGTGTCAGAGGGGCAAGTGGTTTGAAGTCAACGACCTTAACCACTCGGCCACGGCCATTCTTCACGAAAACACGACCATAGTTTTGGCAAACATTCGCCGCCATATCATTTATTTGTACATGTGCTAATTGCGCAAGACAGTGAAATAATTAAGATTGGCCTATGTACACTGAATGCGACGAGAGCTTTGTGATATCATGGATATTTTCTTTGCAAATGAATGAATATCAAGGTTAATATATATTTGTTTTTTGTTGGTTTATTTTTGTTGTTCATGTTTTTTTTTGTCTTTTTAAACATTTTAAAAGTTTTAAGATATTTATCTATGACAGAATGATAACATGGAATGTGGGTAAACACGAAAAACATTGATCAGGTCTGTTTTAATTAATACACTGTTATAAATCGAAAAACAAAAACAACCCCCACCTCAGCCCCTCCCCCCAAAAAAGAAAGAAATAAAATAATAAAAAAAAACACACACACACGCACGCACACACGCACGTACGCACACAAAACAAAAACAACACGCAAACACACAAACAAACGATTTGAGTTGTATAAATTTTTAAAAAAAAGTAAATTTACTTAAAAGATAAATTAAATTAGATCTACGTACATTTCAGAAACGTAAATGAAATAAATTGTATGTTATAAAATGACTAAAATAGCCTACTTAGCGTATTTGTTGTGTCCAAAATAATATATAATTTTAAAGAGCTCAAATTTTTATGTTTTATTCAATTCGTTTTCGGTTTTTTTAGACAAAATGTTAAACCATTTCAAAAAAAAATTAGATCTTATAATAAAAATAAAATTATAAAAATAACGAAAATTAACGAAAACAAAAATGGATTAGGCCTATCATGAAACATTTTAAAAAATCAGATAAATTATGTGTTTCAGCTTTGAAATAACAGTTAGTTTCGGTTAATATTCAGTACTGTATTCAGTTTCGATTAATTAACTATTCCCCACTTGTCACCCTGTTCTATGTTTAGACACGTACACTAAACTTCCGGTCTATAGATAGTATTATTACAGTAGTGAATTGGGTCAGCGAATTGCTATTTGCTATGCCCACACATAAAAAGAAAATATGTAGGTCAAGCTTTAACATTTACTGTACTACACTACTATAGTGTAGGCTAACTACATAATTAATATGTTAAAGTAGTAGATTATCTATCGTCTAGAAATACGTGTTCCAGCTCGCAATGAATAATATGGCTTGCATATTATATGAATAATATCTTGGCTCGCCAAGAACCTAAATACACAAATAGTTCAGCAAATAACCATTTTGACAACAACAAAAACAAAATCAATTTGCAGCTAACCTCTTAAGCGTACTGTTTTGTAAACAAATAAACATTTGCATCCATTAATAAAATTGATTAATACAAGTTTTTGTTATCGCATATTGTCTATACTTTAACCTTGACATAATCATGAAAACAAATGCAAAACGATGCGTCATAAAGTTATTTACAACTATCTGCCACAACCTATTTATGTTCCGTTATTTATAGTAACTTTACAGAATTCCCTATATATATTAACATAATAGAATAAATACCTTCAAATCCCTCCAAAAGTAAATAAACAAAAACCACCTCTTATGAGATCTCAATATCAATTGGTTAATATATTCGCGGGGCTCTGAATTGGGTCGTTACAGAGGCGTAGCTTGTAGTACATACGGAACACCGCGCATATTATAGGCGGGCTTTATATATTTATCAACCATTTTCTTTTTTTTTCTTTTAACATAGTTATATCTTTACATGTATCTTTCATATCCCTTTTAGAAAGAAAAAAGTGTTTATCTTTAATTACATAATTAATTATGGGTATTTATGCTTAATCGAATAAAAATATGGACCTGATATTTTCAAAGTCTAAATAAAAATGCATGGTAAAAGTATTTCATATTTTACAAGGTGAACCAATATACTTTTGGGAAAAATTAAGGAAGCATTGAAACAGCCCCACAATTTGGTAATTTTCAGATATTTTTTTTAATTTGATAGGAAAACGGTCAAACAAGTGTTAAAAATGGGTGGGGTAGGGTAACATTTTTGTGCATATTTAATATATTTTAAGTAGAAACAATAATTTTGCTTTTATAGATTATTAGCTGAATGTCATTATTTTATTGTTTCACAACAATTATTAATGGGAAAACATTTTGATAAGGAAGATACTATAGCTTGTTTGCTTCACATAATGGACCTTTCAATAATTTTTTTTTCTTCAAATTTTGAAAATTGAGTACCGCTCAATCTGGTGCTAGGGGCGAGGGCGATGTTGCACATTTTAATCATCCCTCTTTGTGCAGACTCAATTTAACCGAGGCTAAAATTTTCATGTAATTTTGTTGTTATAAACGTTTCCGAGGAAGAAATTTACACAAACTTCTAGCTGTTGTTTATTAATAATGAAAAATCAATCAGTCGTTTGAGAGAAGTTAATAAACCTTTCCTAAGATATTAACTATAATACGCTTTGTTTTGATTCCCATAAAAGTAACGTACATGTACGTATTTTAAGGGAAAAAACTATAGACAAAACAAAAACAACAATAATAATGATACTAAAAAACAAGAGCTGTCGGTAGGACAGCACGCTCGACTATTCTAAGCGCTTGATAGTAAAAGAGCCTTGATAATGTTAAATTTTTAAAGTTCACAAAAGGGCTAAATTTTTTTATAAATTCATGTTATAGGCCTTAGAGAGAGTCTAATTATACAGTATTGACTTGACAGTATTGACTTGACTATTCAGAAGGTAATGTCAGAAGGGTGTTTTATTGAGTATAATGATACTAATTACCTATGAATACATAAATTTGACAGAAAAGGTACAAAGGCTTGTTATTAAGATGTTTTATCAAGTAAATCACTGCTTTATTATTATGAATGCATAAAATTGTCCCAAAAAAGGCACAAGCCCTTCAGTAGTTATTGAGATAACAGCTTACCAGCAAAACTTTACAAGCAAAACTTTACCATGAATTTCTAAGTTGAAAAAGGGGAGAAATATCAGCCTAAATGCAAGATAGAATTATGTATCTTTGTCAGTGACCTACAATTATGACCATAAAAGCATATGTGAAGTTTTAAATAAATATCTTTAATAGTTATTGAGATATGTAAAACTTGCATGTAAACATTAACTAAGAGACTAAGTAGAAAAGGGGATATGAATCAGGCTTAATGCAAGATAGAGTTATGGAACTTGGTCAGTGACATACAATTACGACCCTCCTATTATGACCCTTAGTGCATGTGTAAAGTTTCAAGTAAATATCTTTGAAGACCTTTAACCTTTAACCAAAATTTTTAAGTTTCAAAGGGGTAAATAATTCCCAAATATTGCAGGCAGAGTTAAGCAATTTTGCAAACTGATGTACATTGTTACTATAAAAATGTATTTTAAATTTCAATTGAATATCTCAAGCAATAATTGAGATATTTGACTTTCCAAAAAAACTTTAACCAAAATTTCTAAGTTCCAAAGGGGCAAATAATTCTGTCAATATTGTAGGCAGAGTTATCCAACTTGTCAATCTGATGTACCTTGTTACTATAAATAAGTATTGTAAGTTTCAATTGATTATCTCAAGCAATAATTGAGATATTTGACTTTACAAAAAAACTTTAACCAAAATTTCTAAGTTAAAACGGGGCATAATTCTGTCAATATTGTAGGCAGAGTTATCCAACTTGTCAATCTGATGTACCTTGTTACTATAAATAAGTATTGTAAGTTTCAATTGAATATCTCAAGTAATAAATGAGATATTTGACTTTACAAAAAACTTTAACCAACGCAGACGCCGACGCCGACGCTGACGCCGACGCCGACGCCGACACCGACGCCGACGCGGACGCTGACGCCGACGCCGACGCCGGGGCGACTACAATAGCTCTCATATTCTTCGAATAGTCGAGATAAAGGTCACGTAAATATAGGAAAGATGTGTTTGTAAATCTTGTCAAAATATTTGGATTTAATCTAAGTTAAGGAAGGATTTAAGAAATAAATTTTATATCAGAAGTTTCATAAAGTGATGTATCTTCGGATTATATTATGTTATGGGAAATAAAAAGGAAAGAAAGCGAAAAA